GAAGATTGGACTCTAGATTTTTTTTGAACTGAATTAAGGTTGTGCGGAACCCAACGTGTATACGCTAGTTTGTAGTTCAAATAATTATGCAGATAATAACTGACTGTTGTACGTGGTATCTTTGTCATCTCCTCTATCCTTCTGAGTGATGCTCTTGGGTCTTCATCTAGCGCTTGAAGAATTGCTTTGATTTTTCTTTGATCCGGCGATTTTTTGTCAATTTTTATGATGGCGCCTTTTTGTTCATGAAGTGATACATCCTAACATGATACATTACAGTGGAATAGCTAGGAGCATCCATACCGAAGCATTTTACCAATGTCTCGTAGATTTTTTTACAGTCTTTGCATTTTTTTGCAAGAGCGAGGATGTTTTCTTTATGATTCATTAAAAAAATGAAAAAAATCCCGCCAAAATTTCCCGCGAAACCGCCTCTTGTCTCAAAATTCATTTTATATCCCGGCATGGCGCCAAAATACAACATACTCATCATATACATATATTCATATTTTTTATTATATATTTATAATCAGCATATATCTCCTTTAATAGTCTCATATAGAGCGCTGTGCTAAACGCACCTTTGGACACCCTATAACTAAAACCGTAAGTCAAAGTGTCCGTCAAACCGTCAGTCATATTCTCAGTCATACTGTAGTTCATACTATCACCCAAACTGTTGTTCATACTGTCACTCAAACTCTAAGTCATATTGTCAGTCAAACTGTGAGTCATATTCTCTCTCAAACCTTGAGTTATACTGACAACCAAACCCTCATTCAAAATGTCACTCAAACTGTCAGTTATATTCCTAGACACATTCAAACTTTCAGGCATATTGTCAGCCAGATACTCAGTTATAGAGTCACTTTTTTGTCATTAATGAATTCAGTTATAGATTCAAACATACATTCGGTCCAATATTGGATCATGCAGTTAATTCTACATTTTTTAACTTGTAAGTCATTATTTATGAAAATATTTAAAATAGTGTAATTGCACAATGATGTGCAGTATTATCTTTAATATTAATATTGTAATATGATATTAGATTTTATCATATGAGATATTAATATTGATTTATGGATTACTGCACAATGATGTGCAGTATTATCTTTAATATTAATATTGTAATATGCAATGTTATATTCTAATTTGAATGTTCCTTTTTAACCTCATGATTTCTTCTCACTGATCTGCCTTTTTATGCAGCATTTTGTATTTAATCTCTCTTATCCTTTAGATTCTCTATGCTTTCCATCTTTCTAAACCAGATTCCATTGTTAATTCTTAAATTAACACAAATCTTAAATTTCATATTAGTCATTGATCTGAAGTTATTGAAACATCTGACGTCTTTAGATTATCTTATCTAATATTAAAATGATTGATCTATTTACATTTTTAAAATAGTCCTAAAAAGTCTCAATATTTATAAAAGCATAATAAAATTAAATTTTTTAATATCATTTTGTAAATTATTCGTTTACTTTATGGCATAGTCTTGAATATAGATCCGTATTTTTCCCAAGTGAGCGGGGTATCTCCAATCCCAGCCCTATCGTCCTCCCAGTGTCAGTTTTCAATATAAAATCCAAATTTTTTTGAAAATAAAAATTTCGAGAAATTTTTCTGATTTTTTTTCTTTGATTTCAATAATTCAAAATAAATTTGGGAGTAAAAAGACACTATTTAATGAAATTCATATGAGTGAATGTGGATAAATACTCTCAAAACATACAATTTATCTATTTTTTCTTTATATTATCAACTAATTAGTGATAACTTTTTTTGAATCAGATTTTTTTTTCATTAAAAACATAATATATAACACAACAATGATGCACACATACGTATCTACACATCAAAATATAAAGCTTGTTTTGGTCTGGGCATCCCAACCCAAAATTCTTTAAAAATTGAATAAAATTGAAGACTTGGGGCTGGGATACCCATCCCAAAACCGAATTGAATTTTTTGAATTAAAGAATATATTTATGTATTTATAATATACATGTGATGTCTATAAAAAATACTAAATTCTAAAAAAAATTCAATTTATTCAAAACGTATACTAAGTGATCACTTCATTAGTAGGATCAGCAATCCTACTAAATTGTGAGAACGCCACTAACTAAAAAGGGAGTCCTTGGAGCTCTTGATCTCTTGTCAGTAGAGTTCATAATGAGGCATGGCATCTACTGATTAGAGATCAGAGCAATCCTACCTTACCTTCAGGAGCTACAAAGCTCCTAATCGTTACGAGAGGGAGCCTTGGAGCTCCTGAAGCTCATCAGCAGAGGCTATTTACCATTTGGGCCTCTTCTGATGAAAGATGCGAAACACGTCTACGAACCAGGAGCTTCAAAGCTTCTAATCCTTACTAAAGGGAGCTTTGGAGCTCCTGAGTCTCCATCAACAGAGTCCCAGATGGTAAATGTCCTTTGCTGATGAAAGATGCGAAACACATCTACGAACCAGGAGCTCAAAGCTCCTAATCCTTACGAAAGGGAGCTTTGGAGCTCCTGAAACTCCTTTTACTATAAAATAGGGACAGTTTTCTTCTGAGGTTCTTATCAAATCTAAGACTTCAGAAGAAAGCTGTCCTATCAATGTATACTTACACTCTCATGGACTACAAGTGTACAATTTTAAGGCAGAGATTATACAAGGCCTCTCATCAAATGAGGGACCTCGGATAATCTCTACCTTAAGTAGTCAAATAACTTTTCTCACTATTTAGGAACAAAAGAACAAGAGTTGGAGTACTTTAAGGCAAGATTCTTCCGAAATCTCTCATCGAATGAGAGACTTCGGAAGGACCTTGCCAAATCCTTGAACGCCAATATCCTTGGAACTGAGCTAGAACCAGGGAGAAGTAGCATACTATAGAGCACGATGGTAATCTCGGAAATGCTTATATCGCCCCAAGCACAATATTTAAGAAGTCTAACTCATATATACAAGAAGTCAGGCTGAATAGATATTGTGCATATGGTTTGCAGAACTCTCATGATATTTAAAATTCATGTTATCCCAAAAAGGTGACACTTTGGGTGTATCGTCCATCCCAGGGATGCAAAAATCACATCACCTTGGATCTATAGTCTTGAAAAAGTATCAAAAAACATTATCTTAATGGTCTCTAAAGAGGTTAAGTAGCATACACACAGATATGCTAATGTGGTAAAAAGAGATTTATTGCAAAAAGTCCAAAATAGTATATTTATTATCAAGATTCGCGTGGAAACGTACGAGTTTGGGACGAATAACTAACATTCTTAAACATTTAGTAATACTCTGATAAGTACAAGTCCTTAGATGCGACATATGGCTTCTTTTGTTCTAACTTACCAAATTCAAGAACTCAAGTTGGCAGTAACTCTGTACTAAACATACTCTAAGAGCTTGTCATTATTCCGTGTATGACAAATCATACTTTAATGTTTTACTCGTTGAATAAAGAATGCTTGATTTTGAAATCGAATGTTTTTGCTTAAATAGTTCCAGATTCTTGAACTAGGGACGGAATTAGAGGACACGTCTTTGCTGGTTAGTCGCGTGCTTGATGACAATATGCTACAATTATAATAAACGTACAAAAGGGACGAAAATTAAGAGCTTGTAACTTTCAACCTTCAGACATTTGACCCTTATGTAGCATTGAGCTTGATATTTTACTATTCAAGCATTTTATTCCCATCGCAACTTGATTATATTCGATAAATACATCTTATTGTTGTGAAATTTAATGATTTATACTGATTTCTCTATAAGATATCATTTTAGTATTTAAAATCATATGATTATAATTACCAAGGGTATTCTAACCTTAGCGGCAATTATACTTGATCATTATAAAATTTCTTACTCTTCACGCACTAACATTGCCTACGGAACAACATTCCTTACGCATTACTATTTTATACTGCTGAATATACTATTTCTATTTCCTTTGATTAGATTTGTCTTTACAAAATAATTGAATTGACGAAACTTTATTTGGAAAATCAATCTTAATACATTAGAGATCATAGTTCACTTTTCAAATTACGTGAATGAAAAAAAATTTTAATTCAAAGGAATTGGATTTTAATAAAATCAACCGAGTTCTGTAACCAAATCAATATTCGTAGTTAAATCATCTCGACATGGCAAACCCAAATTTTAGCTAAAAGTGACAGGGAAAAAAACGTTTAGTATTAAAAAAAAGACCGATGAGAGCTTCGTTCGAAATATAGAGGGAACTGAGAATGCGCAACCATTCTCAGGGAATATTGGATGCTATTCCCGTTCCCTCTGTATGGAAAATTGAGGTTTTCAAAGGGAGTTAAAATAATATCAAATTTATACTAATTTACTTCAAAATACAAAAGTATTTGACAGCTAAAATTAGTTACTTTAGCAAGCCTATCAATACCCTTTTACGATTATTGCTACTTTTTCGAAATAAAAGTAAAAACAAATTTATACTAATTTACTTCAAAATACAAAAGTCTTTGACAGCTAAAATTAGTTACTTTAGCAAGCCTATCAATACCCTTTTACGATTATTGCTACTTTTTCGAAATAAAATAAATTTATTATCAAAAACCTTTTTTTCTTAGTAAAAATAAACGAAATTTTTTACCTTATGAACTTTTGATGGAAATATGCAAATTTAAAATAATAAAGAAAGCCGCGAGCGAAGCGATCGGCTTAGTTCGAAGATTTTGATTCAAATCTTTGCTGATCTGTAATTCGCGGAAGCCGCGAGCGAATTGAGCGGCTTAGGTCTAAGATTTTGATTCAAATCTTTGCTTATATTCCTTAAATTCTTTATGAAACTCGCAACAGTTCCATAAAAAATTTTAAATTCTAAACTGTCGAAATTACCGATCGGTAATCACACCCTTCACGGGTGTGTCACTTTTAACTAAAATTACCCCTACTCATCTCGACATTACCATCTGACGATATAAAAAGTGACGTATTTTTTCAAATTTATTTTTTAACATTGAATGACTGAATCTATTGTACAGCATGCCGTAAATGCTATCATTCGTCCGCCAAGAGCCGAATACGACGAATCCACACTTCCTTTAGTATTAGATGCAGGTGATAACGAGAAATACTGTCGTTTTCCCGTTAATTTTCAAAATGAACGTGGACAATCATTAGTTGGATCCATATACTACGTATCAAAATACAATCCTCTAAACGGAGGCCCTTGTATCATGTATTTACACGGAAACGCAAGTAGTCAGCTAGAAGGTCAATTTCTTGTTCCCAATTTTTGTCCACATGGACTTTTTGTATTCTGCTTTGATTTCGCAGGTTGTGGCGAAAGTGATGGTGATTATGTTTCACTTGGATATTTTGAAACGCAAGATGTGAACTTTTTAATCAAAACTCTACACAAGCAATTTGCCATGGGCCCATTCGTGCTCTGGGGAAGATCGATGGGTGCTGCAACAACACTTCTTGTTGATAATCCATATGTTATTGCTAAAATCAGCGATTCATCCTTTACATCAGTTCCAGACATGTGTGCAGCCATTGCCAAGTCAATGAGCCTACCGTCAATGTTCATTCCAGCAGTTATTTGGTTTTTGAAGAAAAAAGTTTTACAAGCAGCCGATTTCGACCTAGAAACGATATCTCCATTAAATTGTCCTCAAGAAGCCCCCGTTCCTTGCGTTTTTGGACATGCAGAAGGCGACAAATTCATTCCATTCGAACAATGCAGACAATTATACGATAATTACGAAAATCCAATGAAGCATATTATGATCCTCGACGGAGGACATAATAGCAAGCGAGATTTAGCTTGGATTACCCTTGGAGTTACATTTGCATTAGATATGTTGTCAGTTCGAGTAGATGACCTCAAAATATCAGAGTGCAGGAAACTACAATCAGCATCTTACCACTTTGGCTCTTTCGAAACGATGCTTTCCTCAGCGAGAGAAACAAATAATACTGCGACCATTTCGGATCTCCAAGAATTCCAGAAACAGCAAGAAAAGGAGGCCGAGCAACCAGAGGAAAAGAAGAAGGAGAAAAAGGAGAAAAAAGAAAAACACAAACACGGAAGCAAAGATGAGAAAAAGGAGAAGAAGAAACACATGACTCCAGAAGAAAAGGCCGAAAGAAAGAAGGAAATGGAAGAAAGACACAAAAAAAATGAAGAAAAAAGAGCAAAGAAAAAGGCAAAAGCAGAAGCAAAGGCAAAAAAGCTCGCTGAAGAACAGGCAAAGCTAAATCAACAAGAAAATACCGAAGCTAATCAAGAAACAGCTCCAGTTCCACCTGAATCTGAAATTCCGAAATCTGATCAACAATAATCTCGAAGAGAAGAAAAAATAAGCAATACAATCAATCGTATAATGATACTACAGCTCCTGAATTCAGATTTTATTTTGGATTTCATATTTTATTATAATTTTTTTTTAATGTTATTGAACATTGACATTTGTTTGTATTCATTAAGTATTACTCTTTTGCAAAAACTAAACTTTTTAATATTATGTTATGTTTTTAATTTACAATTTTTTTTTAATTTCATTGTATTTTGTTGGCAACTATTTTCCAACCATATCATTAATTAATTTTTCTCAATATTTTATTATCAAAACACTAAAGTCATCTTTTTTAAGTAATAGTAGCATTAACTCAAGTGTAAAGTATTATTTTATGAGGTACTTTTAGAATTTTTGTATCCATTAAAAAAAAAAAAAAAAAAAAAAAAAAAAAAAGGCAGTGGGGCTTCCAGGCACTTCGTGCCCTCTAGCCCCGAAGATGTTTAGAATATGAGAGAGGTCCTATAAACCGGAGAAAGTGTCATATAAACATCTGTCATTTTACTCAGAATTTTCATGAAATTTACACCAAAAATATATTTTAGGGTAGAAGGGTATATCTAACCTCTTTTCTAACCTCTTTTCTACCCTCTTGAATTTTCATGAAATTTACACCAAAAATATATTTTAGGGTAGAAGGGTATATCTAACCTCTTTTCTAACCTCTTTTCTACCCTCTTGAATTTTCATGAAATTTACACCAAAAATATATTTTAGGGTAGAAGGGTATATCTAACCTCTTTTCTAACCTCTTTTCTACCCTCTTGAATTTTCATGAAATTTACACCAAAAATATATTTTAGGGTAGAAGGGTATATCTAACCTCTTTTCTAACCTCTTTTCTACCCTCTTGAATTTTCATGAAATTTACACCAAAAATATATTTTAGGGTAGAAGGGTATATCTAACCTCTTTTCTAACCTCTTTTCTACCCTCTTGAATTTTCATGAAATTTACACCAAAAATATATTTTAGGGTAGAAGGGTATATCTAACCTCTTTTCTAACCTCTTTTCTACCCTCTTGAATTTTCATGAAATTTACACCAAAAATATACTACTAGGGTCATTTACGAAGAAATCTCAACAAAGTCTTTACGAAGAAGTCTCAACAAAGTCTTTACGAAGAAGTCTCAACAAAGTCTTTACGAAGAAGTCTTAACAAAGTCTTTACGAAGAAATTCATGAAAATTCAAGAGGGTAGAAAAGAGGTTAGAAAAGAGGTTAGATATACCCTTCTACCCTAAAATATATTTTTGGGTCATTTACGAAGAAGTCTCAACAAAGTCTTTACGAAGAAGTCTCAACAAAGTCTTTACGAAGAAGTCTTGACAAAACATTTACGAAGAAAGTTCATGAAAATTCAAGAGGGTAGAAAAGAGGTTAGAAAAGAGGTTAGATATACCCTTCTACCCTAAAATATATTTTTGGGTCATTTACACTCATTTACGAAGAAGTCTCAACAAAGTCTTTACGAAGAAGTCACAATAAAACATCTGTCAAAAACCGCTTTTTAACTTCACTTAAAATGCCACGTAAGCTACGTAAGAATATACGTAAGAGGAAGAGAGCATTGAAACATCCAATAGTAAAACTGACACCACAACAACAGTTGCAACAACAAATATTGAATGACCCCACTATGTTGCAACAAATGTCAAGCAATCCTATGCTTTTAAACCGAGTTTTTGGTGCACAGAGTGGAGGTTTAAGAGCGGCACTTTTAGCGAAAATGGCAGGCTATGGTGGAGCTGCAGACGGAACAGCATATAACCCTCAAAGTCAAATGAATTTGAGTTCACTCAAAAATCAAATATCAGATGTCAAAAAGTCAAACATAGACATACAGAAACAAATAGGTGAAAACGAAAAGAAACTAGAATATGACAGACACACAAAGAAACTCAATGAGTTAAACGTAGAGAAAAAGAAGAAAGAAGAACAACTGAAAGAACTAAGTACAGAGGAATATGCAAAAAAGTGTCAGAAAAAGCAGCAGAAGTAGCAAAAATGGAACAAGATGTCATAAATTTGAAAAACCATACTACTCAATATAAAATACTGAAAGATGAAGAGATAAAACAAAAAGCCCTGAAGACATATATGGATAGCGATGAGTATAAAAAAGAAGTTGAAGCAAATGTAAAGGCAGAAAAACTTTTACAGTTGCAAAACCAAACCGTACAGTATGAAAACTTAGCACAAGAAAGTAAAAATAACGACGCAGCCATGCAAAAGGCAATGAAAAGCGCAGAATATATAAAAGCTAACAATGACTGGTTAGATGCCCAAGCCAACGCTAAAGCAGCCCAACTCATAGGGTCAATAAGGACAAAAATACAAGCGGATGAAGACAGTTCAAATGAAACTTTAACAAATGCTGACTTTAAGAACGCCTTCGAAGCTCTTCATAGTAAGGTGAAACAAGTGAACGACTTCTCATCTGGAAAGAAACTGAAGTCTGAAGGTTTCGACAAAGAGTTAAAAGAAGTAGCACAAAATATGACGAAAATAACAGATGCAGCAACGAGACAGGCAGTTCAAAGTGCCTATGACTCCGTTAGAGCAACTGTTGTGAAAAGTCAAGAAAAAGAGTTACAACAGACCAAAACAGACCTAGTAAATGCTTTCTTAAAAACGAAAAGTCAGGTAGGACATTACGCTGCAGATGGAACATATGTGCCAGCTGGTGGAACTTATATACCACCAAACCCTCCAAGAGAAGCACCTGCACCAGGACTACCTAGAACATTTACATCGTCACATGGACACAGACACAGGCATGCACAACAACCACCTCCACAACCAGCACAACAACCAACACAACAACCAGCACAGCAACCAACAGTTCAAAACCCTGCACAACAACAACCACAAACAGAGCAAGGACATAAAAGAAGTAGAGAACAAGGAAACCAAGAATTCTTAAAAATGCTTAAAGAAGAGTGTGGTTTCCCAGATACTGTTGACTTTAGTGACAGATATAAAGAAGCTATTGGAAAGTTCAAGGATGGAAATACTGACCCGAACCTATTTAGCTTTATGGCTCAGCACCAAAACGGATATAATCTCAAACCTGGAAAATACAAGCTCGCTAAGGGATATGATTTAATAGCATATCATCCAAATGACATGGATGAATTTACTCCGAGATATTTGATGTCAGAGCTAAATGACAATTCAACTTTCGTCATGAAACGCGTAAAAAATAGAGACGGAACGAAAGAACAAAAGCTTATGAATGCGGATGACGTAGATAGGGAAATTGTTGAAAACGGTCTCGGAATATATGAAATGCCAGCAGATGAGGTACAAGAAACTCCACAGGAAGAACTAGTTCAGATACAACCAGACATGGAAGAAATAGTTCAGCAACAACAGCTAGAAGAGCCTGAAGGAAACGAACAAGTCCCTCCTTTGGAAACTAACCTCACAGAACTAGATGAAGATTTGGAACAGCCGAAATTCTTGACCCTCAACAAGAGTATGCGGAGAATATGGAATATTTCCAAGAGTCTAAAAAAAATTCGGCTGACATAGTAGAAGAATATCGAAAAATGTTTGCCGACATACAAAAGACTCCAGCACCAGATGAAAATATTCAGCATAGAATGGAAGTACTGAAAGAAAATGTACACAAATACAACAACCCTTTTTACTTACGAGCATTTAACGTTCAATCTTCGGATGAACTCGGTGAAAATAAAAGGTTAAATTTCAAGAAAACATATAGAAATGAAACATTGTTTAAAGTTCATTCAGAACCTAACCAAGATGGAAACAAACCTACTTTTGTTTCTGCAGACGATGGAACTACAATGAGATGGGGTCATAAAGCTAATCCAGATAGGTGGTTCATAAACTTACAACCTCAATTCCAAGAAGTTGTAGACGCAATGGAAGTCAATGGTGAACCAGATATAGCTGGTATTTTAAGCGCGGCTTTAATGCCATTGAAAGATATGAAACATGCAGATATTTTGGACCAGTATGAAATGAACATGGCTGATGGAAATATAACACCTGACGTTCTAGAACATTTATCTCAAAGAACTACACAGAACCATAGAGATGGTATATTTGGTGAAGAGTTTAGAAAGAAAGTTAGGGAGATAGAAGGAAGAGAACCTATTGTACATGACCTTGCAAACGAAAGTTTACAAAATGTCATAAAAACTTACTTTGCAGACAATGAACCGAGAAGGGATGAATATTTAAGAAAACTCAAATGGACAGTACCAAATGAAATGTTAGTATTGAAAAACATGTTCCTTGAAAAATAAAACCAACTACAGAAATAAACGACGCAAGACTGAAAGATTGGGTAAAAGCTTTCCCATTCACAAAAGATATAGTTGGTAACATGGAAAGAAAACCAGAATGGCTACAAAAACATATATTTGGAAACGAGCTTATTCCATATGGACAGGCACTGTTTGAAGAGCTTGAACCGGAAACTCAGGAAAGAGTCATGCAAACAATACGCGAAGACTCAAATACAAACTATGACAAACTCTTTCTAGGATATAGGTTACCTGAGATGGGCGACCAGAGCCAAAAGGCAAAAGGACATGGGAAATTTGCAACATACTAGATGAACATAATGCAAAGATGCAACAACTTCAAGCAGAGGGCAATGAAGGAAAAAGAAGAGTTAAAAACTCAGTCAGGAAGAAAGTAAAGCTTGGTCCACGTGGGTTCTATTATGACATATAAATCCAACTATTCTATATTTTTACTCATATGAAATGTACGCCGCTCAGAATATAACGCCAACAGTTTTGGATGCTATGAATGGAAATGTTTCCGAATGGTATAACGAATGCGACAATGCCATTAGAAGGTCAGAAATAGTTCCTGGAACTTACGAATATACAACTGCTGTTTCTTATGGAAACGTAGGTGAGTTTGGAGAAGGTTCTTCAACAACAGTAGATATTGCTTGCGACAGGTTTCATATTATTTCTATTGACAACTCTTTCTTATA